TTGGTAAAATTTTGTGATTTAGATTCTATAATAATTTTGTCATAATTTTGTCTATAATAATTTTGTCAAAAATTATTATATTTTTCTCCCAGATGCAAGAATAACATTTTGCAAATTGCTTAAATCAACAGTAGCGATTAAGATTAGCAAAAATTTTGTAGCTGATAGTGAAAATAAAAATACAGTGCATTTTTTCTGCTTTTTACGTTCACCAGATACTTTTATCTGACCTTACGGTCACAAATGTCGAGGAAAATTTAGCATCTAGCTAAGCCTTGGTAAGCCTTGAATAGTACTGAATTATCACGACTTGATTAGTGAAGTATCAGACGCTGAAGCCCAACACTGTTTTTTCAAAGCAATGTTCCTACTCGGTACAAAGAAATGTAACTGTTAGTAAACGGTGAATTGGCCGCACAATTTTAATAGACGTTCATTTTTTAATTTGGTAATTGTTCTTTCTTTCAAACTGAATGGTATAAAACTGGATGAAAAAAAAAAAAGGGTCAATTTAACAGCAGTGAAAAACCACTTTCCTATTTTACTTACATACTGTGGAAAAAAAGTTTTTTTAGAAATTATCTGTGGAAAATTTTTTTTGCTATTTATTTTACAAAACAGAGAAATATTGGTTTTATTGTTGTATTCAAACTTTTCTTCCACTCTTTTTTTTTTTCTTTTGATATTTCTTTCAACTCAAAAAAATTTGCCGCTGTAGTAGGTGTGTGTTTAAACGAAGAATAGCAAATTCTATTACTAAAATCATTTCCAGCAATAATAAAAGCCAAAAAATTCACAAGTATTTTTTTTTTTTTGCTAAAAAGTATCAAAAAAAATTCAACAGTGGTATCAGGTTACCTTCTGAAAAAAACCCTAGATTTTTGGCTGGCAAGCTGTCAACAAAGTGTATAAAACAGAATACATAGTAATTTTTCCAGCGTCTTGAAAATGTTTCAAAAGTGACAAACTTAAAAGGAAGCTGTAGAAACGATTTTGATAACTTATACAAGCTTTTAGATATTTATTCATCAATTTATTTTATTCAAATACTTCTTTTTATTCTGACTTATTTGCGAACGCCGATAATTTTAAAAAACAGACGATTACAGAACATTTTATAGTTTGTCTGTTGTCGTAAAAATACGCTGCCGTTTTAAGTAAAAAAAATTCATATTTACACCAGCAAAAACAAATTTATAAACGCTGAACAGGATTGACAGTTATCGAAGCTTCTTAGTAGAATTTGTAGTTTTTATGTCTGAATAGAGTACACAACTCTGCCTTAAACCTTAAACTTAAGTACCTATGTAAAGGAAGAGTGTTTCAGTATGACATTGCCTAACTGTCCCTGAATTCTGTCAGTGATCAAATTCATTCCGAATGGCTTTTTTTTTCTGTAATTTTCATTTTTTGTCACAATAATTTCTGGCCACATGGTTTTTTCTAGCGGCATTTCTGTGCTACTCAAAACAAGAGAAGCAGTTTTATAAAAAGGTAATGAAAATGAAATGTAAGAATCAGTTTACCAATATGTGGATCACTGGGAGCCTTGACGATATCGGTCATTAAAACGCTGTCTTGTCCATACATTAACCTGTAGTAAGAATGTAAGAGTCAAGTTAAATATATGATGTTGGAAGTTGAATGTGACTGTGCATACCTAAGTACTGAAGCTAAACCACGACCTAACTGTCCTAGCGAACCAGTGATCAGTACTCGAGGCTTTTTTTCGACTGTTCTTGCCAGTTGTCTGAATCTCTCTGATGGGTCAAACTAAAAAAAAAATTTAATTATGATATTTGAGAAAAGGTGAATAAAGATAAAAGTTTTTAAATGTATTTATAAAAATACCATTTTCCTCTTAAAATTCACATCATTATGTATTATAGTCACATATTGGTACCAAAAAAAAGCAGCATCTACATTTTGATAATCTATTTTTTTTTTTTGTTTTGTAACATTGTTGTCGTAAATTATTATGATTTCTGTAGCAGATTAGTTTTTTAAAGCATATCTTTGATATCCTTTTAATCATAAATTTATAGTCACCTGTAAACTGGCATTAAAAATATGACAACGTATCTAATAATGAAATTTTAGTATAAATTCAGCTTTTATAATTTGTATTCATGGCACAGTTATCAAAACAATCAGTTTTGACTGTCGATAAGAGGCAATAATTTTGTAGAAATATAAAACAGTTACCGAAGTTGCATAATTCCGATTTTGCGCTGTTTGAGGTGCCGACAACGAAGCAACTAAGAATCGTTTCAATGAGTTTTGCAGTTGAATTAGGCTTCTGTTCATCTTGTTATTACTCTGTCACCTTTCTAGGTTCTGTTCCCTTCTGCTTCAATTATGATTGTCGGTCAACTCTTCAAATAGTCACACTTATGCCAGTTTTAATTTCATTAGTTTTACTATCATTGTCGATTTTTCGATTATAAATAAAAATTGATAAAGCATAAGCCGTATTTCTTTCACTGACTAATTTGCCAACTATTGATATATCGCATAAATAGTATACATTTATCAATTATTAAGAAAACGTAACTGAACATATAACATTAATCAGATTAATAAATATATTAAACATTTATAATAGCGCAGATATTAGAAAAAATTTGTTATGCTTGGTTGTCTTCAAAAATGAAAAGACTTTATTAGTTTTGATGCGACAGATGTATTAAGAAAATAGAACAATTTTTTTTCTATTTAAACATTCTGTTTTTTTTTTTGCAACTTTAATTTATCTGAAATTTTAAAATATGAAAGTTTAAAAAAAATTATCAGCTATTAAAAACGTACATTCACTTACAATTTATATGAAAAAAAAAAGGAAGACAGCATTTGTAAATTATAAACGATTAAAGGTGACAGTTATTTGAAGCTGCAAACTTAACAATTTAAAATAAAAAACTAAAAATTGTTAATGCAATATTTTTGCAACAGTAATATCTGTTAAGATTTATTTTTCTACTTTTTTTGTTTTTCTTATTTTCTTCTTTTGAAGGGTTTTTTTTTCTTTATTTATAAATTCTGCTTTTCTACCATATTGATTAAAAAATTTACGCAAGAAGGAAAAGTTATTAAAGTAATTTTGGTTATAAAATTTGGCAAAAAAAAAAAAGCATAAAAGAAGAACTGCTGATAAATAGAAAAAAATTTTTGAACAAACTAAAATTTCACTAATTAATGTTGACCCAAAAGCATTTTTCCGGTGTTTTTTTTTTTTTTT